GGGAATGCTGAGAGCAGTTTACAGGGGTGGTAGCTATTCAACCTCGAAGGTTCAAGAGCAGACAAATGATGGGAGTGCCCCCAGCTATAGGACTGGGCAACCGCAGTGGGTGGATGGAATGGGAACAGAGACCAGAAAGCTGGCCACAGACCGCTGCCCTGGTCCTAAGGAGTCCTAATTTAGTGTAACTTAGAGCCGGGGTAGAATGAGGTAGTGGGAATGTAGAATGTAGGAGGCATTGCCAAGGGAAAATCTTCAGGTTTTAGAAAATGATCGCCTGTGGTAGGCAGTGGTAACGTCAACTCTGAGATAATCTGGGGCTTCAGGGTCTGCATGAACTAGGGTAGGTAACCCTAAGGTGAGGCAAAGGAAGGGGGTCTCTGTCAGGTTCCTGCAAGCCCAAGACCCGCTCTGATGCTGAGAGTGAATGCCTTCCTAAATTGTGAGCTGGTCCCCAGTTACCACTGACCGGTGGAAAAAAATTAATCATTTTTTAATCTGAGTTAAACAAAGTAAATAAAGGGTCTTTCCCAAGAGTCAAGAGGTTGAGGTTAAAAGCGGTCTGAGTTTGGACAGGCTGATTTGGAATGTTGGAGAGAGATGTGTAGCGAGGCAGTTGAAATGAATGTGGTTTTGAACTCCAGGAGAATGGAGAGCGTAAGCAGAAGGAGGTTTGGAGAGAAGGAACAGATAGGAAGGAATATCTGCATAGGGTTATGATTGAATCCTGGAAGTGGATTCGGTTGCCCAGACTCAGCCTCTCACCCTCTGGCCCCCATGGTGTTCTTGATAATTGCAGTCATCACTTAGTTAGCACTGAATCATACAACATGTACCTAGGTGGTGCTTAACACGTGCCGAGCACTGGCTCTCATACTCAGTAGATGGGTTTCTCCAGTCCTCACAAGGCCCCAAGATAGATCGTGCATGTCATGCATGATGGTCCTGAGCTACAGAAGAGGTTGAGCTGCCTGAGGACTCATGCAGCCAGTGCATGGGAGCTGGTTGGCTCTCCAGCCCTGTGCTCTGCTGCCCGCATTCCAGAGACCTCCAAGTGCAATGGTGTCCTGCTGTCTTCAGTCCTACCCCTTCACCTGTCTAGTTCCCGCCAGTCCCCGCAAGCATTCAGCTGTGGCCCCAGAGGATGATTTTGCTTAAGACCCCAAGTGCGGGGCGGAAACATGCGCAGTGGGTAGGGCTGGGGGCAAAGCAGAAGAGGTGGCAGAGATTGGATGGCACAGATGCCAGGGGAGGGCTGGGATGACCTTGGCTGCAGCTGCCGTGAGAGAGGAGTTGGGAGAGGGGTGCTTCCTGAGGTCAGACTTGAGAGATGATTCTGTCTGGGGGAAGCATGGAGATTGCGGATTGGAGGGTTATTAGCAGTGTTTGAAAGAGCAACTGAAACAGTGCTGGGAAGGAAATTCATTGTAGGGAGATGAAGAAAGGAGTGCGTGATGAAATGCTAAAGCCGGGAGTGTGGAGGTCTTACTGTGTGCAGGCACAGACTGAAAGAGCAACGGGGAAGTGGCCATTTCGAGAAAAAAGTCCTGAGTGCTGCAGGCTGACTGTGGGCCCCTGGAGGGCAACCAGGAGCGGGGAGAAAAGAGATGGCAGTTCTGGATTCAAGCCTTGGTCTCTCCTTTACTGTGTGACCTGAGAAAAATTACTTAACCTCTCTGAGTCTTGCTTTCCACATCAGTAAATGAAATTAATGTTACTTACACTGCCCTGATCGAGGAGAAAATGCATACAATGTGTTACCTGGCATGGAGCAGGTGTTCAGTATATGATCGACGCTACTGATACTTTGAATTTTATTGAATTATTTAATAATTTGATTTGAATTTGTTAAATTATTGAATGAAGATATGTGAGGATTTTTTATTTCTTTCTAAAACCCCGCCAGAAAAAAGAAAAGAAATCGTCAATGTCAGCTGTACCAGTTGAATCCAAACCGAGTAAACCATCTGGGAAGGTAGGAAGATAGCAGTGTGTTTCTACATAAGTCACTTATTCAGGGTCTCTATAGTTGTTCTTGATCTGATTTTTTTTTCAAGGGCAAAGCATATGAGGTGGGATTTACTTAAAGACCTTTCTAATGGGGGCATCTGGATGGCTCAGTGGGTTAAAGCCTCTGCCTTCAGCTCAGGTCTTGATCCCAGGGTCCTGAGATTGAGCCCCGCATTGGGCTTTCTGCTCAGCAGGAAGCCTGCTTCCTCCTCTCTCTCTCGCTCTCTGCCTACTTGTGATCTCTGTCTGTGAAATAAATAAATAAAATCTATAAAAAAAAAAAAAGACCTTTCTAATGAATTATTGCTGTAAGCTGAAAGTGTGATGGGGGAGGTATGTTTGTAGCATTTTATATTCTAACCCTCTGTTCCACAACTCGATTACATCCTATGAAGTTTACATTTCAGTTTCTCTCTTGGAAATTTGACTTCTTTAACCAGAGGTGTCCCTAAAGAGTATAAGGCACTTCTTCATTCGGAAATTCCCAAATGAATCGGTCTAAAGCTAAGAGGTCCCAAATTGTATGACATGATCAGGGGAGTTCCTTAAATTGTAGTGGGAATATGGTGGTTGAAGGGGGAAAAAAATTAATCATTTTTTAATCTGAGTTAAACAAAGTAAATAAAGGGTCTTTCCCAGAATTCTTGTTTTCTCTTTTAAATACAGCATACTCTTCATACTGAATCATTTTTAACCTCAGAGATAGGATGGAGGCACTCTTTCATTCATTATACTGATTAAAGCACATATCAGCAGAGTAAATTGTCACTTCTTGTAAGCTTAACATCCGTTTCGCATAATTTGCTTTGTAAACATCCTCAGGCAAGCAAGTGAACAAAAAACCCACAAATGAATGAAAGAACACAGGCCATCCATTTTTTAAATATTCTGTTTGGAAGAGGAGCTATATAGAGATTTTTTTGGAGTTCTTTGTCAATATGCAACTCTGAAAAACTGCTGTTAAGCGATAAATATCAAGCCATTTCTCCTATTGCATACAGTAACATGCTATTATGTTATTCTTTGTGCTTTGTTTTTTTTTTTAACTGTCATTATATTGGACTGGCAGCTTTAACAAACCATTTGTCCATGTAGTTAATGCCATTAGACTTACTGAAGTTGTGGGGTTTTTTTTAAGGGGCTGAAGGGCAGAGAGAGAGAGAATCTTTTTTTTTTCTTTTAAGATTTTATTTATTTATTTGACAGACAGCGATCACAAGTAGGCAGAGAGGCAGGCAGAGAGAGAGAGAGAGAGAAGGGGAAGCAGGTTCCCTGCTAAGCAGAGACCCTGATGCGGGGCTTGATCCCAGGACACTGGGATCATGACCCAAGCTGAAGGCAGAGGCTTTAACCCACTGAGCCACCTAGGCTCCCCAGGGGAGAGAGAATCTTAAGCAGGCTTCCTACCCAGGGTGGAGCCTTACACAGGGCTGAATCCCATAACCCTGAGATCGAGACCGGAGCCAAAATCAAGAGTCAGACACCCAACCGACTGAGTCACCCAGGTACCCCTGAAGTTATGATTCTTACCTGAACATGGCTTTCTGTCCTTCCAACCTAGAATGTGTACTCTGGGACCTTATGTAATAAAGTCAATCAAAGACCAAATTTTAACTATTTTGATGTTTGAAGAACCTTTCATGTTTGGCGTTTTTCTGTACAGAATGTTCGTTTTATTGTTCCTGGTTTTTTGTTTTTTTTGTTTTTGGTTTCTTCCTTTTTTTTGTTTTGTTGTTTTTTTTTTGTTTTTGTTTTTTGTTTCTTTTTTTTGTTTTCTTGTTCTTTTTTGTTTTTTTTTGGGGGGGGTTTTGGTTTCTTTTCTTCTTCTTTTTTTTTTTTTTTTTTAGTTAAAACATCAGAAGTGAAATATGTATTGCAAATAGCATTTAAATACCTTCTTTCTTTCTTTTCTAGTCAGACATGGATACTGCCTTGGATGACTTAGTAGACACCCTAGGAGGACCTGCAGAAACTGAAGAAGATAACACAGTGTATACCGGACCTGAAATTTCAGTATGTGATTTTGATATCTGTAAAGATTCATACTTATTGGGTAGAAAAGCAAGTAAGTTCATGGCCATGAGGCACCAAAGAATACTTAATGTTCTGTTGCTTGCAGAGAAACAGGATGGTGTCACTGTCAATACCAACTAAAAGTGCTGGGAATGGAAATGGTTTGTTCTATGGTAGCTCTACTGTTAACATTGATTCAGCAAACATTGACTGATTGTCCATGTTGTGACTGACGCTGGGATACACCTTTTCAGGTCACAAAGATTTTTCTGACCTTGAGATTTAAGTTTACTGGACCTGAACTTCTTTTGATTTTCAGATACTTCCCATTCGATGACTTGAACTTACTTTGACTTCCAGAAATTTACCACCCTCTGCTCATCCCCATTCCTAACTCCTAAAAAGCGAAAAGATTACACATCCCTTGATATTAAAAAGATTAAAAAGACATGCCATAACTGGAGGAAAATACTTGCAACAGAATTGACAAAGGATTTGTTTCTAGAATTTATGAAGAATTTTTAAATGAAAAAGACAACCTGCTAGAAAAGCAGAAGAAAACTTGTTTGGCTAATAAGGCAGTGAAATTCTCTAGTAAGTAGAGAAGTGATACTAAGATACGGAGAGAACATTGTATACTCCTCAGATTGGCCCAAGTGTGGAAGTCTAACAACTCGTGTGGGGCTTGTGGGTATTGAAGATGTGCTTATTACCCTTCGGCTGGCAGTTCCACCTCGAGAGAGTTTCCCTGGAGGGGGCCTTGCCCATGTGTTCCAGGAGTTAAAAGAGCAGATGGAACATTCAGAAAGGATTTTGGTCAACAGCAGACACCATAACATAGTGGAACACTTTATAGCGGTTAAAATGAATTATACATGTATCAACATGGATACATTACAGAAACATAATTTTGAATAAAAATACAGAATATCTAGAATATGATGCCATTTGTTTAACATTTGAAAGGATGCAAAGTAGTGCTTAGTAGCAGCCCATATGCTAAAAATGGAATGATACAGAGAAGTTTAGCATGGCCCCTTTGTAAGGATGACACCCAAATTAGTAAAGCATTCTTTATTTTTTAAATTAAAAAAAAAAAAAAGGCAAAGTAATGCTCTATGTTGTTTGTGGACGCCTGCATAGAGAATAACTGTTTTATAGTGTGCTCAGTTTTAAGTCCATAGCTATAATAAAGTTCTGGATGGTGACTGTCTCTGGCCGACAAGGAAGGTGGATGAGATTGTAGCCAGTTAAACAGGATACATTATCCAATCCTTTTTCTCTTAGAAATTACATCTGAAAGACTTGGGTATTAGGTTATAGAGAAATGTATTATTAACTGTAACTTTGCATGTATTGGTAAATAAACAATGAAAAACATTTTAAAATAAAATATGTTTTAATATAAGACTCAAATTTAATATAGTGGCTTGAATATTTTCTACTATCACATATGGGTTAAGCTGATTAAATAAAGTGTTGTATAAACTGAGAATTTCAGTGTTGTGTAAAGCATTGGCTTTTTAATGGTTTACATTTCATTTCTGTAGCTCCATAAATTACTAACGGAAACAGTACTTTGGTTGCTGAATATGCATATAACATTCTCAACTAATTAATTACATAATATACCTGTGTGTGGTTTTTATTGCAGGATCCAATGACTTCTACCTACATAGAGGAATTAGGTAAAAGAGAAGTTACACTTCCTCCAAAATACAGGGAACTTTTGGCAGTAAGTTAAATAATCATTTACTTTACTGTGTGCTTTTTGGAACATAATCATTATCCCGTCAATATATTCACGTTTTTTTAAATTTAGAAAATATAGTGGGGCTTGTGAAAATAGCTACAAGGACTCCCAGTGTATCTGTTTGCTAGGGCTGCCATAGCTCAGTCCACAGGCTGGGTGGATTACAACATAGAAATACATGTCTAACAGTCAGGGAGGCTAGAAGACTGGAGTGGGTGTGGGCAGCCTGGGTGTGAAGGAAGGAGTTGAGGCCTCCCTCCTTGGTTTGTACATGGGCCATCTTTCCTCAGCATCTCTGGGTCCATGTTTCCCCACTTAATAAGGACAGCAGGCCTATGGAATTAGTGCCCATCCAAATGTTCTCGTTTAACCTTGATGACCTCTCTAAAGGCCCAGTCTCCAAATATAGTCACATACTGGAGGGCTAGGGATTTAAGACTTCAACAACATGACTTTGGGAAGACACAGTTCAACCCATAATGCTCACTGAGCAGTGCATTTTGCCTGTTGTAAAAATTAATTTTGGGCTCTCCACATGATCAAATTAATGTTTGTTTCAGAAAAAAGAAGGTATCACAGAGCCTCCTCCAGACTCCTCGGTGAGTTTACATAAATGTCTTCTAAGATCCAAGTTAACCTTTTTTAAAATCTTTAGTTGTGGGGGGCACCTGGGTGGCTCAGTCAGTTAAGTGTCCGACTCTTGGTTTCGGCTCAAGTCATGATCTCAGGGTTGTGAGATCGAGCCCTACATCAGGCCCTTGCTCAGCAGGGAGTCTGCCCTTCCCCTCACTTGAGTTAGCTCTCCCTCTCTCTCAAATAAATAAATCTTGAAAAAAAAATCTTTACTTGGGGGATGGAGCATCAATTCTCTATATTGTGTCTGTGGCTCATCTCCAAATCAGATTAAGTTTTCATCAGTTCCGAGGAAGAGATGGGCGTGGGGTTGTGTCAGTGCTCATGGTTTCCTATGGAGTTTTTCTGAAGGGAAGAATGAAGCCAAGAAAGTTGTGGGGTAAAATAAATGTTAATAAAAACAGATGAAAATATCCTAACATGGAATCCATTTAAAAGAGTTGGAAATGGGAAACTAGGATGAGTGAGCAGCCATTCCCTTCCAACATAGGCTTTCATCTGAGTTACCAGATAATGTACTTCATTTGGTAGCAAAGGAATGCTAAGTCCTTCTTCATTTGCTGAGTTTGTATTGTGGTCCTTAACTGGAATGACTGTCATGTGTCCCCCATCATTTAGAAACCCATGGGGCCCAATGATGCCATAGATGCTTTGTCGTCTGACTTCACCTGCAGTGCTCCTACCCCTGGTGGAAAGAAAGCAAAGGAAGAGGTATTGTTTTCAAAATAATTGGGGGGGGAGAAAAAGGGGCAGGGGAGCTTATTAGAAGGCATGTCACATTTTCAGACAACTTCTTTGTAGTTCTGGTTTTTACAGTGACTCTTCTTTTACCTCTAAGTCTAACCATTTGTGCTTTTGCCTTTCAGAAATCCACAGGAGAAGAGGTTTTAAAAGCTCAACAAGCCACGGCAATCAAAAGTGCTGCTTCATCCCAAGAGAAAAAAAGAAAGGCAGAGGAGGTATTAAATAATGATTTCTTAGAAAATAACCCCAGTCCATCTGACAGCAGTTGCTTTTCTGAGGCTGATGGAGCTGATTTGGGATAATCTCCACAGAGCATTATTCATGATGAGGAGCATTTTTTTCCCTTCTGGTCTGTGTGGACCAGTGGACCTGGTCAGGGTTCTGCGGATTATTTCCAGGCAGGCCTTCTGTGTTTCTACAAGTGCTGTTCATGATGGCAGCACAGTTTTCTTGGTTGTGAAACAAGAGTCTCTCACCATTAAAAAAAAAAAAACACACAGGAAGACAAGATCCCCCCAAAAATGGCACTCTCAGAATGTTAATCTTCAGTGACCTTTTAAATGGTGTTTGACCTGTGAGTCACCAGGGGATATTGTCCTAGCTGCTTCTGTTCACTTCTCTGAACCACGATCGCTTAATTGTCACGAAGCTGGCAGGGCCGTCCCGCAGCTGTAGGCTGGGTGAGAAAGCGGGCTCCGTCTGCTGACAGCGCAGACCTGAAGGGGGGGCAGTGTCTGTTGGATTTGCTCTGTTTCTCCCTTCCTGCAGGGGACAGTTTATTTTTATCTGGTGGGCTCAGCGCAGCCCTGAAGAGCACCACACCCTGAGAGTGGGAGTTCCCACAGCCATCAGCCATGGCGCCTTCAGAGAAGGCTCCGGGGGCCACTCCGGGTTTCCCAGCTTCCTGGGCTTAGCTAGTTTGCTAAGGGACAGGGTTGGCTGAAATTATTTTTAGAGACACATTAAAAAAAAAAAAAAAAAGATACCAGAAAAGTGAAAGTTGACTTCTTATAGCTTTTCTTTTGATACAAGTATTTCATAGTAATATTATCATAGTTATAGCTTGATAACTAAGGGGTGAAGTGTGCCCGTGAGGGTACACACCCTGTAAGACACTCCAGAAGTGTCTCAGCCCTAGTTTCTCTCACTGGTAATTCTCTTCTCTTTCTCTCTTGCTAGGTTTCAGGAACATTGCCTTCCGAAAGTCCTTCCCTCATCCATGGTTCCTTCATTTGAAATTGGGATTTCACAAAGTAGTGGACAGGTGGTTCAGGCTGAGGAGATGTTCTCTTTTCTAATGCACAGAACTTTTCCTTTTCAGCAGGACACAATGAGTGACGAAGCACTGGAGGCTCTTTCAGCGTCGCTGGGCAGCCGGAAGCCAGAACCCGAGCTCGACCTCAGCTCCATTAAGGAAGTCGACGAGGTATTGACCTTGGAGTTGATATATAGAGCTTGTCAGTCTGCAAGTTATGAAACTAAATGCGGTGTGCGTGTTTAAAATTCTCACACAGCTTTTCTTTATTGGAGCTAAAAGACCAACTACTCTTCATTCTGTCTTACTTTCAGAGTCTGGTTAACTCAGATCTTCATTCCTAGGTAGTTAGCAACCAAGAAGGGTCATTGAAAGTTTGTCTTATAAACCATCTAGACTTTTAATACTTAAAGTGGGTGCCAGTCCCCTCTGCCACTGCTTCAGTGACACCTGATGAACCAAGATAACATGGAGGCAGGGGCTTGGTGGGGAATAGGTTTGCCCTTGGGAATGTGGAAATTCATATTTTCAGAAGGGTGCCAGGTGCTTCTCTTCATAAGGAAGGAGGGAAAATGCTGTCGATGGGACGGAGAGAGCCTTCTTTTTATAACTATGGAGAAAAATGTGGAAAATCGTGTCTCAAATTAGAATGAAATCAAGCAACAATTAACTCTATAACTGGAGTTCCTGTGTGCGTCGAGTGTGATGCTGGGGTGGTATTTATCCCACCACACTTGAACATCTTAACAAGTCTTCTGAGCCAAAGCAAGTTTATATTTGGTGAGAAGAGTTCTGACGTTAAATTACAGTTTGTAAAGAGTTTTTCAACTGAGTCATCTGGGATGGAAGAGGAGGGAAAAGAGGGAGTTGCCTGTGGGCATTGCCAACGAGGCAGTGGAGTTGGGGGACATGGAAATATAGTCCAGGGGACCCTGAGGAGCACCAGCCTATCAGCGCGGGGAGGGGAGCTGGCAGGTGTCGCTGTCACAATGCTGCTGCCTCTGCTGTCACTTCCTGTTCTGAACCATTGAGGAAGGTGAGTCTCACGACTCCCGGCAACTCTCCCTGAGTCTGGGACTCCTCTGGTCCAAAATGGGCCAGTTTCTATCTTCAGCTTTCTTTGAGGACTTACCGGGCGCAGTGTGGCACGACAAGCTTTGTGAAGGCGAACACAAGGGAATGGGGGAAGCAGTCCTTGTCCTCCAGGACCAAGTAATGTATTGAAAAGAAGGGGAACTTTCCTAAAGGCACAATGCATGACACATGCTAATCAGAGCAGCCACCTAGACCAGATATCTCGGGGAGAGGGCAGTCCTGGCCAAACCCTGGGGTGGGGTGGGGGTGTCAGACCAAGTGGAATTGTGCCATTCTGCCCCCAGAGAGCTCCAGGGCAGTGAGCCCCTTGCCCTTTTGCTTCCGGCTTTTTACTCGTAATTGGTGAGATTTAGTAAGACAGTAATTTGGGGTGGGAAGGTATAACGTTAAATCTCAGGACAGAATCTTAGAGCAACTAAAATCAGATCAATAAAAGTAAAAAATGTTACATAGAAATGACTTCTTAAGCAGCTGGGGTGAGTAGTTTTGGGGATGCATATAAATGTACTAGATTTCCTCTAGAAGACCTCCACAGCAGTGAGCTAAAATTTTAACTGAATGAATTGTTCTTTCTACTAGTTTCCACGTTCTTTTCTGCTGTT